CCTCTTTTTATTTTCTTCTTTGCTTTTTCTCCACTTCTTTTTTTCTTTTACACTGCTATGTTGATATTCTATTTGACATACTATATGAAGCTGCATAAAGTTTTGAAGAACTGTGTTAATAAAAAATTTTCCTGTTAATGCTGCTGTACATTACTGCACAGAATTAGATGATGATAGTATCTGACAACATCAACAAAGTTTTAAAGGATAAAAATGGGTTGTATAATTGGAAATTGTAAGTTCAAGTTGAAAAAGTTATGCAGTAAAACAAAAGGCATTATATAACTGCACTTTCTTCTGCTTCTGTTTTTTTTTTCTTGCTTTTTTCAGTTGGCCGATTTTTTAATTAGTTCAATTAGTCGGTTACAATTGAGTTCTCCATACCACTGAACTTATTACGACGGGGGGAAAAAAAGATAGAACTGCAACGGGTGATTGAGTGGTTTTTTTTCTTCTGAGTAAAAGTTTTTTTTTTTTGTTTTTTTCCAAAAGTTTTTGTTGTGGTTATCAGCAGATAGATTTCTTTAATGGTTGCTGTCATTATTAACAATTTTTTTTTTCGTCTCTTTATATATTTTATTCGCCAATAAAAGTGTTGTCGGGAAAATAACGATAAAACAATCAACAATTTTTTTCAAAATCATTTTTATTTTAAAACTTATTTTTAATAATTAATAATATTTTTTTTTTATTAGTTAGTCAGTTACTTTTGATTTTTCTGTACCCTTCCTACCTCCCACTCTTCTTTTGCTCGAATTCCTAGGAAAAAAAAAAACAAAATAAAAGAAGTAGGTGCAGCAAACAAAGAAAATCAAAATATTTCTTTCCCCAACAATGTTCTATTTTTACTTCTTGTTTTTGTTGTTTTAGATTCTGCAATAAATTATACGGCTAGTTGAAATACGTTTTTGCGTAGGTGTTTTTATTAATTGATGGTGAAAGTTTTTGTTTCAGTCATCGGCTGGACACCTGAGCTCGACAGTTGTTCAGTTTGCTTCTGTTGTTTTTGCATCAGTCATCATCATCATCATCATCATCATCATTGCTCGTCGTCGCTGTTTTTGTCGTTGGCGATGTTCGTGATGTTGGTGGCGGTGGTGGTGGTGGTGGTGGCGATGATAGTTTTTTTGTCTGTTGATTTCTGTTCTAAGGTCATTAGTTCACACTTTCATTTCCTTTCCTCAAATTTTTGACATTTTTCTCTTTCCCTCTGTACATCATTCAATTATTTGCTGTTTGATTTTTTTTTT